AAAAAAAAAACCCGAGCCGGCTCGGCCCGGGTTCGGCTCGACCTGCTAAGGCTCGGGCCGAGCCACATTTTTTTTGGCCGGGCTCGGCTTGGCTCGGCTCGGGCCGAAAAAAGCTCGGTCCAAAAAAGTTCGGGCTCGGCCCGAGCTTTTTTTTCCCGGCTCGGGCTCACCTCAGCTCGGCTCGGCTCGTTGCCACAGCTAGTCTATATTCGATCCGATCCGATCCGATCCGATGAGAATAATTATCTGATCCGATAATTCAACAGATATTTGATTGTTAAATCCATATCTGTTTTGCTATATTATCGGATATTCAATCCGAAAGTAAAGAAATCAACTTTTATTTATTTATTTATTATTTTGCCCCCAATTTTTTTCATTTTTAAACAGGTTTAATAATTATAAATTTCTCAACTTTTTTATGTTTTGAATTCGATGATTTTTTTATTCTAAATTTTTTAATTTTATTGATTCAATAAACAATGTATTAATTCAATATATAAACATTGATAAAAGGGATATATATAGTTTCAAAAAACTAATACATGTATCCGGGGTGTGGGGAATATGCAAAATTATTTTAGAAGTCTAAAATTTTGCTCTCTTTAATGTTAATTGAATCCAAATTTCGCTGCTTGAGAAAAAAAATCCTCAAGCACAGGGAAGACACCAAATTTTTTGCTTAAATTACATTAGTAATTGGAACAATCCAATAATTAAAAATAAATGCAATTGTTACATATTCCTGTTAATTGAATCCAAATTATATTCCTTGCGATAAATGCTATTTGGTGATTGTTTCCAAGTGTCTTATGTTATTATGCATAAAATGGGCTCACACTTTCACTATTTATCTTAAATATTTATTTACCCGTGTTTATGCCATGCAAAGAGCGATACTCTTTTAAGGGCATTTAGAGCATGTTCGGCTTAGCTTAAAAGCTAAAAGATGCTTCTTTTGACTTTCTTAGATAGTATGAAAAGTATAGTGTCAAAACAAACTAGCTTCTTTTGCATAAGAAGCAAGGACAATCATGAATATGAAAGTTAAGAAGAAATTTTGTCATAACAGATTTTTGAACCATTCAGTTAAAGGTTGTTGTCCTCGGATTGGAAGCTAGTCCATGTAAGAAAGACCTTTTACGATAGGAAAAAGCAATTTGTGCAGGGCGCTTGTGCACCCTGGGTCACAAATTTTAGTGAAGTTGGATTAACTGTGTTTTTTGTGGTAAATGAAGTGGTAAATGATGGTGTATGTGAAGCAAAACTCTTTACGATATACAACAAATTTCTTCTTTTAGGCTGTTAGAATTTAGGTGTGATCTGAATTCCTTGTTGAAGTAATTGAAGAATTCTAATTGAAGTGTACGTCAGTAGGAATTTAGTTAGGAATGCTATTGGAGTCTTATTCAAGTTGAAATTCTATTTGGAAGCTTTATTGGAGTTTTGCTTGGAAAATGACTTTGAGATGAAGAAAACGACTTGAAGCGAAAAAAAAGAAAAATGAAAAAAGAAAAGGGGACATAATGCTCGGCGCCAGCACCCCTAACCTCGGGAGTCGGGGCACCGCAGCCTGGCATCGGCGCCGAGGCGTCCAAAAGGTGGCGCAGGTGTTTTTAATTCTCTTTTTTTTTTTTTCGAATTTTATGTTTTTTCTTATTCATCTAGAACTCCAAAAAGATATATATATCATCACAAAAATATATATTCAACATCATCTTGAGAGGTTTTGAGAATATATGATAGTTTAGTTTTGGTGATTACTAGAACTTTAGATCAATTGTATATTTCTCTATTATTGTTCATGAGTTAATAAAATCTCCAAATTCCTCTACTGTATTTCTTTTCTTTTATTATTCTTTTGTTTATGATCATATACTTCATATTTTGTCATACAACTTTGATATTTCAATCCTGAATTATAACAAGTGGATCGGAGAAATACACAATTCTTAACAAGTGGTATTATAGCAATCTCATCAGTCCTTAACATAGGCTGAAATGGTCTTAGAATGCACCATATATCAAAGTGACTTCACGCAGGACTGTTGAAACTGACACAGTCGGTTGCTCTTTCGGGCCACTGGCCTAGATAGCTGTTCCCAGCACAATCGACCTCTCAAACGGGCCGTTGACAATATAGCTGAGCCTGGATTAGTTTACTCATCAACATTGAAGTTTTCACTAGCTTCGTGATGTCCTAGGCTTGTACCATAAAAGGCCAAAGGAATCCAAAGATTCTCCATGAAATTAACAATTCAACAACAATTTATCACAGCATAGTCCAAATTTTGGTTCCAATGGTTGGTAAAGGACAAGAATAATTTATTTGTCTGGAGCTTGCCTCGAATAATTGTAACTATCGCCCTTCGTGTCTGCTTAAAAGAGTTCGTAAGAAATAAAAACAAAACATAATAAGTCCAAACAAAGAATAAAGGCTATATATACACACATGCGTGTAAATTCCTTCTTAGAGAAGTAAATACAGCATCTGCCAACAGATACACTTTTACATGGCAATGACAATGCTAATGAGTGAAGAGAATCTTGGGAGGCATCTTACGTGCATGGAAGATGGCGAGGTGCCTGAAGTGAGGCGTCGTATCAAGCGTAGGAAAAGAGATACAGAAAATGTAGTGGATCTAAAATCTGCTCCAACAACTGTAAAAAGAAGTTCAAGATTTCGAGGTGTCAGCAAGCATCGGTGGACTGGTCGATACGAATCACACTTGTGGGATAAACTCTCCTGGAACGTAACTCGGAAGAAGAAGGGGAAACAAGGTAATTAGCCTACATTTAGAAACATTTGCTTTCAGCCATTATTGGACAGAATGTTAGTGCTGATATCATATCTTGTGTTTTGTTTCATGGATTGCACTCTGAAATGGACTTCAATAATGGACAGTATATCTTGGTGAGTAATAATTCGCTAAAGAGAAGTTAAAATTTTGTTCATTATACTGTGTAATACGCACGGCGTATTGAATATGCATGTTAAAGCCTGTTTAGTTTCGACTTTCTGAAAGCATAAACTGAAGCCTTCATTTGACAAAATTCTCAGGAGCTTATGATGTTGAGGAAGCTGCTGCAAGAGCGTATGATTTAGCTGCGTTGAAGTATTGGGGGATAGCAACTTTTACCAATTTTCCGGTATGATATTCGTGTCATATATATATATGGATCAAGTACTAATCCTTCCTTTCCAGAGTAATATTAAAGAGAAAAGTAATGAGAAAACGAGCATAGTGCACACACATTTATAGCGGTTTACACTCAATATGAGAGCTATGTCAACTTGAACGTGTCTAACACTCTCTTGCACACACCAAAACAGGAACCCTAAAAGAAAACTTTATATATGTATAGGTAACTTAATATGGGCATGAAACACCTTCTTTCCACATTTTCTGCAGATCTCTGATTATGAGAAAGAAATTGAAATCATGCAAACTGTCACAAAAGAAGAGTTCCTTGCCTCATTAAGAAGGTAAGATTTCAGAATCTTATTTGATGTATTTATCAAAAAAGTGACTCATGTTCGAATTGACAAAGGAATACCTAATGTTTGTTTTCCGTACCGCAGAAAGAGCAGCGGATTCTCAAGAGGTATATCAAAGTACAGAGGAGTTGCAAGGTATATTGTTATCAAGAAAATCATGATAATTAATTTCTTTTAAATTGATTGTAGAAGATTATTCTGAACAAGTTACTTACCATATGCAAGCAGACACCATCACAATGGAAGATGGGAAGCAAGGATTGGGAGAGTTTTTGGAAATCAGTACCTCTATCTTGGAACTTACAGTAAGTCTTACTAATCAAACTGTAGGGATTTGTTTAGCTTTTCATGGAAGTTTAAATAATTGGTAAAGCAACTTTGCTAGAAAGATATTAACAGATGCCTTGACATAATGGGTGTTGGCAAAATATGATTGGACGAAAAAGTTGCTGTGCTTTAAATAGTTTAATAATAGAATGCTATGCGGCATTATATCAAAGACTATGTCAACTTCTCTGGTACTGTAGTATGATTCTAAATAATTTGACATCGAATGACATGGAAGTCATGACTTTTACATGATTTACATCTAGTCGTGGTGTCAAAACAGCTCAGCCTGTTTAAGAAAGGCCCAGTATAACTGTGGATTGTTTTATGAGTTCGGAATGACCTGCCTTCAAAAGCCGGGTGCCTGTCCAGTGCTTGACTTTTTACGAGCTGGGCACCTTCAACTCTGTTTTTTCGAGTGCCTAATATATTCTACTTATTCACCTGTCAAGATCTACAGCCGGCTTGTTTGAAGCCACTAGCATCTTGTAAAGCAATGCTGTAGTTAGCACATACATGCATCTAATTATGCAACTAAATTCATTTACAGGTACCCAAGAAGAGGCAGCTCGTGCATATGATATTGCAGCAATTGAATATAGAGGAATCAATGCTATCACAAACTTTGATTTGAATACTTACATTAGATGGCTGAAACCAGAATCCAACACCTCAATTCCTGCTCAAGAACAAAAGCCAAATCCGATGACTCACAAGAAGATGCAACCCTCCATGTTACAAACAAGAGATTTCAGTGCAGATAACCTAATCAAGCAAGAAAGTTTCGAACAAAAAATCCCGGTTAATTTGTGCAGGAAATCATCTTCTCCAACAGCAGTCGATCTTCTTCTCCGTTCTTCTATGTTTAGAGAACTCGTTCAAAAGAACTCAAATTTCATGGAAGATGAAAATGTAGATGTAGAAAACACGAAAAACTTGCCACATCTGGGTGGTGATGATGAGTATGGAGGAAGCTTCTTTGATGGACCTCAAGATCATATCCCATTTGTGCTGTCTTCTGATGATTATAGCATTGATTTGGAAAGAGAACTTAATTTCAATTTCGATTGTGATTTTCCAAGCAAGAGTTGGTGCAACATGGCCTCAATCTGTTAAATCAATACAAGTTCAATTGAGACGTTTCATTATACTGTCTAGTTTTGTCCACTACTGGGTGGAGGATGTCCTTGAAGTATCCTCAAGTTGATAACAGATCTTGTTTTTCTGTTGTACAGAGTAGATGCAGTTGCTACAAGTTCATTAGTTTCAATTTTTGGGATCCTTGTGAAATACAGCGTGTTTAGTTTAATAGCATGTGTCTGTACAGAAAAATTTGAAATGATATAAGCAAAGAGATTTTTGAAGTTATTTTTCTTGAATAATTTTCCTCTCATCGAGTCTTTTTTGTATTAATTTGATGGATTCTTGACAATAATTTGAGGAAAGGGCTGGTGCATTTCCACAACATT